AACTAACTGACAGAACTAACTAAAAGGCTTTTTGTTCGTTCTTTATTCATTGATGAAACAATTACTATCGTATCTAGACTGCTTAATGAATTCAAGCTTCCATGGAACAGTGTACTTGAGATACACATCTTGACCTCTTAGGAAACGCAAATACGAGAGCGAGCTGGACAGCTTAGTGTGGAAGATTGACTTTGAGGAAGTTCAAGCAAAAGGTGGCCAGACCAATAAGTCGGGAGTCTCCATGAAGAGCATGGTAATGTGAAATTATTTATAGGTATGGACAATCAAACGTAATGCCCGACCTGAAAAGGAGTGTTGAGTATAATATTGGGACCTCGATGCCGATGGGATGAATTAGTTGGGATTACAGTCCTTTTACCTATGTAATGATTTCATAGTTATGATTCAGATTTTAATGACCAATACAAGCACTCGATCAATCTGCCCCGAGCTGAAGTGCACCTCCAATCGGCGAAAAGAAAGACAGGTGGTTACAGGCGGGTTCTTGCACGCGTTCTGCGTGTGCGCATGCCTAGAGACCACTTAGTCTTGGTCTCAAGACGTTAGTGCTTGATAGCGGACACCGTGCATAGTGCGCCCCCTAACGACTCATAATTAGACTGTGCGCATCGAGAGTAAGTAAAAACTAGTTGTGCGAGGGCACTCTTCAACAGAAATAAAACAACTATCGATCACTGACGTCCTGGGCAAAGACTAGACTCAGTCCGCTCCGAGCGGAACAAAAGAGGGCGTTATTTTACTCACACGTCACGTAACGAGGCGCGCAAGTATATGTACGTTTTCAGCGTGCTTCGCGTCAAAACGCACATATACTTGCGCGCCTCATTACGTGACGTGGTGAGTACAAAAACGCCCTCTTTTGTTCCGCTCGGAGCGGACTGTCAACAAAAATGTCATGTTCGAGGAATAAGAGAGTAACCTTGGACGCATCTATTGTGGATTGAACCTGGGTACCATAGGGATGTCGACTAATGCCAGGTGTTTGTCAGGTGTTGTAAAATGTTCAGGACAGTAAGTCTAGTTTGTGTCTCTTCTTTTTTTGTGCTGAAGATTTATAGACATAAGCTACAGCAATTACTGAGGCTGCTTTGTATTTATCAAGCTCTCTCTTGCCATGTACTGAAATCCATGCATAACTTTTGGCAGGTCATGAGTACAATATCCGTTATGACGAACCAAGAAACTCAGCAGATCTTCGCCAGGATTGGAACCTATCGCGTAAGTTTAACGAACAACGATACACGCGGTTATTAAGTCTCAAATGTCTGAAATTTTTCCATCAATCGGGGATACAGGGGGCGAGTTTGGCAAAACGTGAAGAGTAACCGGAATGATAATGTAGATATTATCAAAAAGAAAAATGTTATCAAAAAGACACATGATGCAAGATATGCAGTATAAAAGGGGGATCTCCTATTTTGTCTTCTTTTGTGTTGATGGAATCTTTGGAATTCCTTTCAGATTTCCGAGGGGTGTGCAGTAGGCACAATAGCCTTGGGGTATACGGCTTGCGCATCACATTGGGGAGGGGTCCCCGTTTGCCGCATATAGTGCTGGGTATTGTCTTATGAGGCTCTTTCCTTGTTACAAAATATACAACCACGCCATGCGCCACTATACTGGGTTCTATCATTTTTATAAAGCAGGACGTGATCCGAGCAATCACTTGAATAAAGGAATTTAATAAATCTTTGCACGTCCTTTTCCAGTTTCCAAAGTCCGAATATCGAGGCCATTTATTTTTAAATGTTTCCCATTTTGGTTATTTTGTAGGGTAACGTTTGTGCCATTAAAGCCGTCCACAAGAATCACATCGATATCACCCGGGAGGTTCGGAAGGAACTCAAAGCGGTATGTCTGATTTATGGAACTTTTGGAAACCTTTACAGGGCCCAATTCCACGGCGCTGCTTACCACTAAGTAAATTTGTTCGCTAACCACAGCACAAAAATTTACCTAACAGTAGGTCTAAGCATATTTCACAACGAACATTAATGCTGTGNGCTTGAAATCCCATCGATTAATGCTGTGCTTGACACAAAAATTGTATGGGCGCACATAGGGATTACCATTGTTACAAGATTAGCCAATTTTCCCCAAGAGGTTAGCGTGCTTTTGCTGTGCTTACTGCTCACGGTCTTCATTAAACACGGGGAGCCTCTGCTGTCGTAAAATGGCGTGCTTAGCAGCGCCGTGAAACCGGTTAGAGCGTCTTCAACAAATACTATAGGGGATCAGTTTAAGAGAGAAGATTTGCAGATACATACACCCTAGAGCTAACTGGAGCGCTGACTCTAACCCTGGAGCACGGTTGGTTCCCACCATAGAAATATGAAACGGCTGCGTGGCACTGTGATCAGAGTACTAACAAACATATTGCCGATGGTAACCATGTACCTTCGTCAGGGCAAGCATGATTCAGTTCTGAATGAATGCAGAAAAATCCAAGTTCAGTCCATCCACCTGGATGCCGCGTTCCAAGTTCGAAGACGACACCCTCCACATTTCGGGTTTGTTCTGCGCTGTAGTTTTTACATACGAATCGGACAAAGCCGATACGCCCAAAAAAAACCCTAAGAATGGGAGCGTTCGATTAGCTTACACGTGTAAGTCAAACTTACACGAGAGCGTTCGTTTAGCCGTCACGTGATCCACGTGCCTGCCCTGGTGTCAGCCACTACTACCCCGGCTGGTGAGCGGGTCTCTGGAGGCTGCCCGAGTGTAATGACGTCACGGAAGGACTGTTCGTGCATGGACGTACATGATGGAATGTGGCGGGGACTTGACCTTTTTCCCAGAATGCTTTGGCAGTGCAGCGTTCGATTACCCTCATTTCGAGGCTTCCCTTGAGTGTAACACTGCTGTATTCAGGGGAGCTAATCGAACGCACCCTGTGTAATTTTGCTCTGCCTAAACAACGCAAATGCGTGCGCGTATGCCCTGCAGATAATTTGGCGTGACTTTTTAAGTGGATTTCAGCGGTACCCGATGTGCGTTGCATCTAGAGTACAAAATTTGATATTCATTCTGATTTCGAAAGTTCTACACACAAAGCACGCACACGGATTCAAAATGTCTGCGCCCAGAACGGCGTCAAATTTTCTCCACGCGGAGAATGAGAAGTTCACACTCCAGTTTTTATAGTAGCTCTGTACACCATGCATTGTGAAATCGATCTCTTCTATGGTAATGGTGGTTCTGGAAAGAAACAGTGATTGTAAACTCCATATTTCATTCAGGATGCTCTGGGATCAATTTTGTCTATGTAACTGACCCTGGGAATGAGGCAACTGCATTTTAATGAGCCAGTTCGGCATTCCAACAGCGCATGCCCAAACTGAAGCGTGTCTGAGGTCATTCGCGAACAGCAACAAGCGCGATTGTCTGCCCTCTCAGCGCAGTCATGAGTCACCTCACGCGCTTTGTTCCCGAAAGACATACCGAACTGGTTCATTGTTGATTGCTCTTCGGTGATGTGCAAGCGTGTACAGGATAATTTTCAAACTCGAACATTTTAATTTAACAAAAACATGTTCTTTTATATATACTTATCTTAACAAACCATTATGACAAACTTTAGTTCTGAACATTAAATTCTTGTCGTTCCATTAAATATATTTCTTTCCCCCTTATATTCGCATGCGGATCGTAAGGTCTCAAGACCATGGTGACTTTTTTGCTAGCCCTTACCATAGTGGTCGTGGTATTATCTTCTCGTGTGATTGGTCTCTCTGATGTTGATAATTTCGTGTCTGATGGTAGTGTGAGATTGGAAAAAGAAAATACAGAAGATGTGATGGACTATCGTGCATCATCAATGACATTTTAATTGCCCAGGATTTTATAATGTGACGGCTATTTACTCAAGCGTCCACACTATAAACTGAAGTTTCTAACCCATGACGTGTAATTAGGCTTAATTAATCAGCCAGTGGCTGAATACTAATTTCATATTTATTGTGCTATCCTAAAGCCAAAAGTATTTTACGCTCAAGTTGTTTTCAAATTTTCGGGGCGAAAACGCCACCGAACAGATTCGATCCATTCTAAAAGACACCCTTTCTGTTTGATTAGATGCGCGACGTTCGTCACGACAACGTGTGCCAGTTCGTAGGAGCCTGCATTGATCGACCACACATCTGTATCTTGATGACATATTGCGCTAAGGGTAGCTTGCAGGTATTGCTTAAGTTTGGAGATCTGATTGATATAAAACGTAAGAAATTTAAACGAGAACTAAAGAGGGGAATTTGATTGAAATACCGGCTATTTTGTCGCACCTTAAATGTCGCATTGACATTTCCTAAAGGACATTTTGTTCAAACGCATCAATAATGGTGACAATTGATAAGCACCACTGACCACATTAGTCTTAAACCCTCATAGGTAACAAAAACGGAAAAAAATTAATATTCCAAGCCGAGCGATTTTCTTATCTAGGTTAACAATGTTTAAAGAGGTAGCTGCGCAGCAGCCTGATCTTTGTACAACTTTATTGGAAAGGACATTCTGGAAAACGACGACATCAAGCTCGACAACATGTTCCTGGCCTCGCTGATCGCTGATTTAGTGAAAGGTATGATCTACCTACATACCTCCCTGATCGAGTCACACGGTAACCTGAAGTCATCTAACTGCGTAGTAGACAACCGATGGGTGTTGCAAATAACTGATTATGGATTAGAACAATTCAAGAAAGCACAAGCAGAGGATCCAGACATGACTGATGACGTGCGATACAGAAGTAAGTAACTCTTGATGCTATCTCGAAAAAAAGGATACGGGCTTTGGCACAGGAAACTTTGAAATAACAGTCCTGTGACCCTCTTCTAATGCTCACTCACACAATGACCCTTGCAACGTAGCCTTCTGGTCAGATATAAAACAGGGGATCGACAGGAATATAAGATTAAATCAGTGCTCTGAAATATATGATAGTCGAGCTTTCGGTAACTGAGTACCTTCTTCAGGGCAAACAGACTCAATTCCGAATGAACGCGGAAAAATCCACGTTCATTCAGAAATGAATCTGCTTGCCCTGAAGAAGGTACTCAGTTACCGAAAGTACCGAAAGCTGGGCAATCATATATTTCAGAGCACTGATTTAATCTTATATTCTTGTCGATATTCTGATCACGGTGCTACGCAGCCCTTCCATATTTCTCTAAAACAGGGGAGTCAGGTTGGCGTACTGGTTCTTTCCTTGCCTTCCACCTCTGCGGCCCGGGTTCGAATCCCGGCCCGGTCCACATGTGGATTTGGTTTTTAGTCGAAGAAGACGTCGCCATTTTTCATTTTAAAATGAGCCATAGCAGAGGGCAGAATAACCAGTCAAAACTTTTCAAGACAAGTACCTGGGCCGTTTTCCAGTACTCAACTTTGTCTCCGTCTCAGGCTTCGTCCCGAAACCAATCCCCGATTGTGGGCCTGAAGCGTTTAAATCAAATTGTATTACTATAAGTTTTTGCTCTCTTGCATCTTATTTGATAGTTTGTGGCACTTTCAGACTAATTAAGGCGCTTACAGGTTAAAAGTCAGGTAGAAAAAAACAGTTGAAGCCTGAGACTGAGCCGAAGTTGAGTATTGGAAAACAGCCCTGATCGGACACTCATATATACAGGCGATTCACAATAGTGCGCCACCAAGAGTTTACAATGCGTTGGCCAATCATCACGCGCAAAATTTGTCGACCCTTTCCAAACGTGCACTGGGTCGACAAATTTTGCGCATTCTATCGAGTCACGCTGAGCGCTGACGTATGACGCCAAATTTATGTACTAGCCCACATTAGTGAACCATACGTGACCATGTTTCAGCCAACCAGGAAAGAGCCAGAAGAGGTCTGGTGTGTTATAACTTTTTTATATAAAGCCATTATCTCCATTAACAGACTGGATAGGACACGTGTATGCGTAAAGATTCGGAAAACATGGACAGCTGGGGCGGGGGCAGGTTTCAGCGACGATTTTAGTTAACTGCAGAGAAATATGGAAGGGCTGCGTAATACCGGCATCAGAATATCGATAAGAATATAATATCAAATCAGTGCTCTGAAATGTGTGATTGCCGAGCTTTCGGTAACTGAGTACCTTCTTCAGGGCAAGTAGATTCAGTTCTGAATGAACGCGGAAGGAAGGAAATACTAGGTTTCTTTCAGCAGCGCGGTTACCCTCTGGTTATCACAGACGCTGCCTTCAACGCTGTATCTTCAATCCCACGCGAAATGGCTTTGAAACCTACCGGGGTCAAGCAACGTGATCGCGTCCCCCTCGTACTCACATACCACCCTCGAAACATCCCACTACGTAATATTCTTCTCAAACAGTTTTGTACACTTGGAAATGATGCGGCCACAGCTTCCATTTTCGCCGAGCCCCCGATTGGCGCGTTTAGGTGCGATCGTTCTGTCAGGGACATGGTAGTACGTTCCCGGTTGGATTCCGTCTCGCCGTCAAAAGCAGGCAGCAATTCCCCTTGTCAGCACCCCAGATGTAACACCTGCCCCTACATAGTTATCAACCCGTCGGTCGTCGGTCCCTGCGGTAGCTACAGAATACGCGGGCATCGTACATGCATTACTACTAATGTGGTTTATTGCATTACATGTCGTCGCCGTGGTAAACTGTACATCAGAGAGACCAAGCGTTGCCTTGGTGACCGCTTCGCGGAGCACTGCGAAGTGTGCGCCAACAAACATCTGGTCTCACTACTGTTGCGCAGCACTTCTGCGCGCCGTCACATACCCTCGGTGACGTAAGCGTCTGCATCCTGTGGAAAGCGTCATCTGATGTACAGCGTAAGGAACTGGAGCAGTGCGTCATTTTCGAGCTGCATCCATGGGGAATGAATGTGGATTTACATATTTACGCGGCGGGTTTCAGAGGGATTTTTGGTGCTATCAGAAAACAATGTCGCACAACGGCAAGGTGGATACCCACCGGTATGACGTCACATGGTGGCATATCATTTCTATTGACAAGTATATAATATTCTTGTCAATATTCTGATTACGATGCTACGCAGCCCTTCCATATATTTCTGTGGCATATCATTTCTACTTCCCAGACGCCAGGTGGCATCAGCCAATGACGCGCCCCGAGTTGCTCATGAATATTTATGAGGTGTAGTAATAAGTTTTCCAAGCGGGTTCTTGCACGCGTTCTGCGTGTGCAGAGACCATACATTAAGGAATAAATTTGTTACGCGTACTCACAGTGATCAGCAACAACTTATCTCCATTATAAACGCGCGCCTTCGCGCTGAGTACCAAGAAAACACACCCTTCTATGTTCCGCTTGGAGCGGATTGGAAGTTGAATTAAAACAAAATTAAAACATGCCCCCTCGGGCCTGTGAGTGACCAGAAGAGGGTCCTATTTCCTGCCTCGGGAAATAAGACCCTTTTCTGGTCACTCACGGGTACCTTGTGGACATAGACGTGCACTGGTGACCTCATTACCAGTCCATATGTGTAAAATAGAGCTCTGACTCGTGTAAAAAAATGATGCCTGGATGGTGGGCAAAAACCTTAAAAGAAACTTAACGCACAATCAGTAAATCTGATTAAAAAACGCCATGGCAAAATTCATGTGCAGCACATAAGTGCACGCGTTTGAATAAGATTGGCGCAGACTAAAATGAAACGTTCATCTACTGATTGTTCGTTCAGGTTGTTTGCATATCGGATTTGTTTACGTATCATTTTAGAATACAGACGCAGATATGCAAATAGCCGTACTTATACAAAAGCCGTAAAAAATGTCCAGTTTTCCATAGGTTTGTGCATAAACACGGATGCGCCCAACAGCCATCACTTTTTTGTACATGAGTCAGCGCTCTAGTTTTATATATAGCTCTATGATTAAAAGTCGTATATTCAAAAATGTACTTGCAGCCACGGACCTTTCCTTTGCCCGTCAATTGACGTCACGTGAAATACCCCTAAACGAGACAAAGACGCACTACATCATTTTGTGTTCTACTTGCGCTCATGTGATAACTGAATACTTCCATCTCATGTTCTCTTATCGATTACTAAAAATCGATCAATTTGCAAATCACATGACGCGCGAATGTGGTCCAGGCCCCCTTTAATGTCTTCTTTGAATTAACGAATTGTGTTCTCTGGGTCTTTATTTACACCGAAGTAAATGCGAAGCGATTTTGACGTCTGAGTTCATTGAGATGTGTTCAACTTTTGCAAATTCACGGGCGAAGAGTTGACCTGATTTCGCCAAATACTGACCAGCCTTAACCTAGTCCATTTCTAATTTTGTGCTAATTTTCAACACACATACATTTTGCTCGTTTCGTTTTTAAATTCATTTTATATATTATCTTTTTCTGTTCATTTATCAGTGCATGAAGTACCAGTCGTGGGATGATAATAAGTGATAATGTACATACGAACATAGTTATTTACTAGGACACAGTTATGACACGACTGGGAAAAATAAAATATAATTTAAAGGGCAAAAAAGGAAAAAAGACAGAGCTCACAAAAAGACAGAGCTCACAAAAAGACAGAGCTCACAAAAAGACAGAGCTCACAAAAAGATGGCGGAATGGAGGTGGAAGTTAGTCTGCAACTGAGCGTATTGATTTGACTCCATACCAAATCTACGCCTTTTTAGAGTAAATGAGGAAATTGAAATAGTTTTAATTTCACTGAATTGAAATCGGAGACGATGGTCAGTTCCGCGGGAAAAAAATAAGTGAAGCAACTTGTGTAAGCTTAGGTTTGTCTTTAATCACATCGGGATGAAAGCGGTTTGAGATAAGCAAAGTTGTGTCACACCACTTGTAAACATAGCATGTACTTGGATTACACATGTTTCTCAGACAGCCGTAGCTCAAAAGTTTGTTATGAATCACAGATATGCTTTGGAAGGCCCCTGAACTTCTGCGGATGGGTGCAAAAATGCCAGCACGCGGTACCCGAAAGGGTGATGTGTACTCCTTCGCTATCATCCTAACTGAGATGTATTCCCGTGCCCAGCCCTACCATCTAAATGACGAGGAGCCTGAAGGTGAGTACAGCATGCTGGATCCAATGATCAGTGGAACCTTATATCCTACACTTCCTCCATAATGTCCCGATTTCCAAAGATTGCATCTAATTTTGTTTTAGGTTTTATAAAACAGCCCTCCTACGTTGTCTGTGCCTCCCGTGCGACAACCCTGCATAACTCCCCTTAATGTGTTTCACGGATCGCCCTTAAAGCCATGTCGTTGAATAAGTCTAGTAGAACCAGGGGGCCAACTCCCCCCCCCCTTGCATTTTTATTGTTTGAAATATAATAAGAGAAAGGCTATTTTCGAGTATTTCATTTCACTTCTTTGAAAGTAATGTAAAAAGCAAAGTATGTAGCTTCACCGCTCATAAAAGCCGTAATTAGTTAAAAAAGAAATTCACAGATTTTACCTCTACTCCCGAAAGAAAAAGATAACCCCAGAACATATACAGGCCTACATGTAGTCCTATCCTTGAACCTATGGAACGACTGTGTCGCAAAACAGATTTTTATCTCATAAATGGGAAGCTCCATTGCTCGGTAAACAAATTTTTGAGCTTGCATAAGGATTTGATCAAGGGAAAGCAGGGCGTATCCCGGATTTATCCATGCAGGTGTTACAGTGATTTCTTCCTTGGGATTCGGCCTTGCATAACACAAAACATATGGTTTCACATTCAAAATCGGAAAGATCTTTTTATTTCGGGACATGTGGGATGAAACCTTCCATCTGGAAACAAAACATATCGCTTCAGCTATAAGGCCAGTCTGACAAATGTTCATCAGGCTGCAAGGCTCGTGCTAGATCGATGATTTTATTACGGACAAGATTTTTGATCGTCACAGAAATCATTAAGAGACTTAAGGCAGGGTCTATTCCACCGTATCGCCCGCTACTAAATGATGTGAACGAGAGCGCACCTGAGTGCGTACTGAAAGCCATCCGCCAATGCTGGGAGGAGGACCCAGAGGATCGACCGGATTTCTTCGGAGCTCGTACCATTTTGGCTCCTCTACAGAAAGGACTGTGAGTCACCACAAACTGCTAATCAGAATGTGTAATTTGACATTCATCAATATAAAGTGTAACAATGGGCGTGCAGGCCGACGCTTCAAGGAGGCCTACATTAGATTAATGGTGCGCCTATATTAGCTTGTGTGAAAAAGAAGTGGCTACACCATTATACCCCTTACATGTATTACAGTCAAATCTGGCTTCGTTTTTATTCCACTAAAACCTAGTTGGTTAACCTAAATGGCTGGTGTGAAAGAAAGTAAAGTGATTGGCCTTTCAAAATGTGAAAGTTCTGTTTATGAGATGAACTTAAATTTACTTTACTGTTGGTTATTATAAAGGAAACCAAACATCATGGATAACATGATTACTATTATGGAGCGGTACACCAACAATCTAGAGGAGCTAGTGGATGAACGTACAGAGGAGTTACAGCGGGAGAAGGCAAAGACAGAACAACTATTACATCGCATGTTACCACCGTGAGTTCAAGAATTTATTCTCAAACCAGTAGATAAACTGTCCAACGACAATACCCTCATCATTGTTATAATTATAATAGATTAATTGGGGGAGGGAATAATCTGCTTGGCCGGTCTTAGAAAAATGAACGCTGAGTTGCGTCCATTCTCCTGAGCCGGTCAAATGCAGGTTTAACTTTAAGACCGACAAAGCACGTTTATTTATTTCCATTCAGACCCTGTTCGTCAGAGAGTCAAAAGAAGTCAGTATACAATAAATTTCCAAGGATTTTATTCAAATTCTTTTACTTTCATTTCAGTCCCGAACACCCCCGTCCATTTCATAGTACATGTAGACCTGCGTCAAGTCTAGTTTTTCGATGGCTGTCTTTCGATGAATAAGTTCAGTTTCATTAAAAAATCGTGTTAAGTGAGTTGACGGCTCTGGAGCAGCAGCTGTTGTGCACATTAGGTACCGATGAAACCCGATTTAAAAAGTCAGAACAAAATTCATGTGCAGCGCGTATGCACAAGCGTTCTCACTTGCACAGCACGTGACGTAAGCGTCTGCATTCGACGGAGCGCGTCATCCGATGTACAGCGTAAGGAACTGGAGCAGTGCGTCATTTTCGAACTTGGAACGCTGCATCCAGCGGGAATGAACGTGGATTTTTCTGCGTTCATTCAGAAATGAATCTGCTTGCCCTGATGAAAGTACTCAGTTACAGAAAGCTCGGCAATCACATATTTCAGACCACTGATTTGATATTATATATTCTTGTTGACAAACAGACAGGCATAACTTGGTCCCATCCGTGTTCCTATAGCCACACCACTGGTCTGAATGTAGTGCTCACCGTTGAACGCGAAGTTGTTCAACGTGAGCACCAACTCAGCCAGACGGAGCAGAGTGCTGGTAGGAGGATCCTGAGTCTGGCGGAAATCTAAGTGTTCGAGCGCAGCCAAACGAACCGCGTGGGGAATGGATGTGTAAGAGATTTCACATCCATGGTGAAAAGGAAGTTTGATGAACCTAGGAACTCAAATTCATCGAACAGACGTAAAGCGTGATTAGTATCCTTGGCATAGCTCGAGAGCTTTTTGACAATGGGTGTTAGAATGGTGTCAAGGAAGTTGGATATCAATTCAGTGGGACAACTACAAGCAGACACAATGGGGCGGCCTGGATTTGTGAATTTTGGTTAGCAAGTAGAAGACTGCCGTGCGTGGGTTGGGAACGACCAGTTTGGTTGCGTTAGGGGGGAGGTCACCAGAGTCAATGAAACTTCGGACAGTGCTAGCAACAATATCTTGATGCTCTTGTGTGAGGTCGCGGTCAATCTTAGCGTAGGACGCAACGTCAGACAGTTGACGTTCCGCTTCAGCGACATACTACAAGTCCTTACGCCAGACCACCGTAGCACCACCCTTGTCTGCCCTCTTAATGACGATAATGTGGTTTATTGCATTACATGTCGTCGCTGCGGTAAACTGTACATCGGAGAGACCTCGTCTCACTGTTGCGCAGCACTTTTGCGCGCCGTCACATACCCTCGGGGACATAAGCGTCTGCATCCTGCGGAAAGTGTCATGTGATGTACAGCGTAAGGAACTGGAGCAGCGCGTCATTTTCGAACTTGGAACGCTGCATCCAGCGGGAATAATTTCCGCGTTCATTCAGAACTGAATCTGCTTGCCCTGAAGAACGTACTCAGTTACCAAAAGCTCGTATTTCAGATATTCTGATCACGGTGCTACGCAGCCCTTCCATATTTCGCGTATCATACTTCCCAGACGAAAGATTGAATCGGCCAATGACGCGCTCCGATTTGCTCGTGAATATTTATGATGTGTAGTAATAAGTTTTCAAAGCGGGTTCTTGCACGCATTCTGCGTGTACATTAAGGAATTACGCGTACTCATCGGTCGAGTTCGGGCGGCCTGTTCTTGACACTGGTTTTTGTTCTCGCGTTCGAACGGCGGGAACACGACTCAAGAACACGTCAGGGTTTTCAAGAACACGCAGAAAATTTTGACATTTGAACAGCTGCAAACGTGGCAGAAAGGAGAGTGATGGCTTACAAAGCCATAGACAATAGGAAATTTTTCAAAAGCACTTATTCTTCATAACACAGAATGAATGTTCCTGTTTAAACAGAAAGGAATTCTGCCCAGTTATCCAAACATTAACTCTCGAATATTAAATGTACATGGACGCCGTCATGTTGCATATTGCTTGTCACTAACTACCAGCGATAACCGGTTTCATGTTCCCGGCGTTCGAACGGCTGACCCAAGAAAAAAAATCAAATTGTTCGACATATGAGATTGTTCTCGTATGTCGAACAGAAAAAGACCCTACATTTTAAAACCCTCAAGTGCCTGGCTAACAAAGCCTACCATTAAGAGAGAACTGATTTGAGGCTGCGCATATCGTGATTTGGTTGAGTAAAGTATTTGTGGCCCTGTTTACAAGCCTGCAGCCTGAGGACTTCCAGTAGAAATAACACTGCTAGGTTGTGTTGTCATGCAGGCAGCTTCAAAAACAGAGCGTCGTTTCTACGAACAATAAGTACTGTATGCAGCCAGTAACCACACTTTTAAGTTATAAAAATCAACAGTCATCTTTACATGATTCGCAGAGTTATGGGAAGGATTTCTTATAATAACATGCTTCAGATAATGCAGCACGTCAGTGAATAGTGCATTCTGCGAATGCTCAAGTGACCGCAGTTAGAGCACAACTCTATTGATTTCTAATATTTGACTTATTTATGTCTTCTTTTCTATTTAGTCTTCTAAGGCTGATTGTAAACTAAGAATGTTTTTTATAAAAAAAATTAAAAAATCAACAAAAATGATGGAAGACTGCAAAAGCCTTGCCGAGTCTCTTCCGCACCGGCAAACATTATTCTAATAATTATGACGCTTTCATCTTATCATTTCGACATTTTGATCTTACGATTATAGTAAGGGTGATTGTGGTTTTACTTTCGGCAGTTCCATTGCATCGCAGCTGATAAAGGGGATCTCTGTTGCTCCTGAAGCCTTCGACATGGTTTCCATCTTCTTTTCCGATATCGTTGGCTTCACTGCTCTCTCCGCCGCCAGTACACCCATTCAGGTAAGAGAAACTCAGCAGGTTCAACGTTGTTTCTGATTTCATGGGAAGTCAAAAACTCTGTGCGTTTTGAAATATAAAATCCACCCATCTGTCTGGTGTCCGCTTCTGTACTTACATTGTGAAATCGACCCACGCGCCATCTTAAAGTTGGTCAAAAACAAACCACTTTTACCTTGTTCTGGTTTTCATCAGGTCGTCAATTTGTTGAATGCTCTGTACACGCTCTTCGACGCCATTATTTCCAACTATGACGTATACAAGGTAAATGTTGAAACTTTGTTTAAATGTACGCTGTCCTATGGCTGTGGAAACGATCCACCAAGCCGTCGGACGTGAGAGTACACACGCAAAGCGCTTAAGATCATTATGCAGTGTATCTACTGCAGTGATTTTGTCCTTCGTGCGCATTACTGTCACGATCCGTCAAGTATGCATATTCTTATTCTTTGCGCAGTAACTGCAGTTGGTTCCTCCCCAGCTTGAGGATGATCCACCATCCAATAGACCTACAACATAATGACGTAATGCAGTGTTTACCGCGGTACATTGTGGGTGAAAGGTGGGGATGTTGGCGGAACCCGTCGACGTGAACAAAACGTTGTGTAACGTACACTATATGACGTGTATCGACCTGACACGAAAAAAAGGAAAAAAATAAAAAAATTCCTGATTTGCCAGAATGGTCCATGTAAACTGCTGTGTAATTCCACTGTGTTTATCAAGCACTCAATGAACGCCAGAGCTGCGTTTTTTAAACTTCCACGGGACCGCAAAAGGCGACAGATGAGAAACAAGGCCATCAAAGCGAAGTCCAAGTGGACCTCTGTATGCAGTCTACATTTTGTAGGCAGAGGCAAAACTTGCGCGTACGATGTACCGGATCCAACGATTTTCCCGTGGACAAATAAGTGAGTTGGGAGGAGGTTGTTTCCCAGCAAAATGAACAACGAAGAAGCTGCCTTTCTCTTCAGACATGATTTGGGAACTTCATACATGAAACTCTTTCTCATGATTTTGCTGGTACAACTGAGGAGAACTATAACTTCTTATGGAAATCTTTGCCTATTTTTCCATTTCATCTGTGAACGCTGATGAACTTAGCTAGCATGCCAGCCCAAGCATGCATATATAGGGCCTACCTGCATACACTCGGGCATGTCGGGAGACAAGCCCGCTTTTGTACTGGTCCTGGTTGTTTGCCGCCGCTCGCTTGCATATTGAACTCGAACTTAAAGCTTGTTTTGGCTGCAAGATTGGCAGTGGTTTTAGGTTTGCAGTAGCAGGAAAGCTTCTTCGTTGTTCATTTTGCCGGAAAACAACCTCCTCCCACTTATTTGTCCACGGGAAAATCGTTGGATCCGGTACATCGTAAGTTTTGTCTCCGCCTACAAAATGTAGACTGCATTCAGAGGTCTACTTGGACTTCGCTTTGATGGCCTTGTTTCTCAGGGAACTTATCCAAATCTGTCGCCTTTTGCGGTCCCGTGGAAGTTTTAAAAACGCAGCTCTGGCGTTCGTTGAGTGCTTGATAAACACAGTGGAACACAGCAGTTCGTATGGACCATTTTGGACGATAATTGGGAATTTTGTTATTTTTTTCTTTTTTTCGTGTCAAGTCGATACACACGCCATACGGTATGCGTTACACATAACAAGTCACATCGACACATTCCTACAACATCCCCACCTTTCACCCACAATGCACCGCTGTAAACACTGCATTACGTCATTATGTTGTACATGTAGGTCTATTACCATCAAGTCAAATCGGCCAAGTCATCGCATAAAAGGGCGGCATAGATGGATTTCGACTGAATTTCACCCTAAGTTCACGAACAAGGCATGACTCTAAACAAGTTGTCAACCCATACAGGAGAGTTTAAAACGTAGCTTATCACAACGAGGAGGGATCTGCCTTTTAAAATACTGTATAAGCACAGCGTAAAAGGAAATGCATTCTTCGTCTCAGTATCAAGAATTTCAAGTAACTATCTTATCTAGTGATATTTGCACTGTTCTAGTCTGAGGGTAGAAGTCTACAACAAAGGCCATTTTTGTTTTAAATAAAAATGTGTAATGAAGGTGGAAACCATCGGTGATGCCTACATGTTGGTGTCAGGCCTTCCAATCCGCAACGGTAACCGTCACGCTGGTATGATCGCCTCAGCTGCTTGGCATCTCTTGGAGGATGTTTCAACATTCGTCGTACCACACAAACCGGAAGAAAAGCTCAAACTCAGAATTGGTATTCACTCAGGTAAGATTTCAGAACGCTAGTTTCAAAGTCAAGAGGTTTGGCACTTGTATGGGGGCGGTCTTTTTGTTTTTCGGGTTTTTTTTCTGTTTAAAAGATGCTTAGGGTTTGTGTACCAACGACATGAGCGTTTGGCGCGGACATGGGCTCGAAGCACAGTCCAAATTGTTGCAATGAGCCAGATCGGTATTTCAGGAAAGCAAGGTCGTCCGGGAATAAAGCACGCACACGAATTTCGCATAGGGTCTTGCGGGGAGGGCTGACCTCACACGTGCGTCCGGACGCGCGCTCCATTTCGGGCATGCACTGTTGGAATACCGACTCAGTGAAACCTTTGCGTTTTAGCCAATGGGCGCTCGTAATACACAGCCACCAACGGCCTCTAACAGCCAGTTTAGTCTACGGCTCCAGTGATCCACTGCTTGGTTAGCTTTCGGATCACTGATCGAGATCCGATCAGAACTGTATGAAACCAACAGACCCTAAGTTCACGAGTCGCGCACTAGCCTCTTTTCTTCGCAGGTGGGGGACACTTTTGCGCAGAGAGAAGTTGGATGAGGATATCCGGCTTGAGCAGAAGCTCTTCCTTATCGGTTAACCAGAGCCAAGTTGGCCAGAAGTGTTAATTTTACTGGTAACAACACCACTGTAACGCGTGCATTCATGAACCAGCGAAGTGCAGTTAAAGGAGCTAGAAAAATTGCGTCCTCCGTTGGTCCAGCTTGGGGGCTCATTTGCGGGAAAGGTACTGCAGAAGCATGTAATTATACACGCCTTCTTTGGCGAATCAACGCAAACTGTCGGCAAAGTTGCACCAAGTTCTGTCGCCGTCTCTGTTTACGTCAGTCTCGATAAAGTGTTATTATGATAATGAGTATCATCGAATACTGATCAGCGATGCTCCCTCTGTATGTCGATATGGAAATTAGGCCATGCCGTTTGTATGAACTACCTCCTCACCAATTACTATGCCGTGCCAAATAAGGTATAGATGGATTTCACATTAGCGCCGTCTGCGCGTATCCGCATCGAAACCGAGGCTCTCTGTGTTGAACTTTGTCGCGCGTGCCCGCAGAGTCGACACAGTATATGTAGTACCCGGTTCGTAAGTGTGATACCACTTCAGTTTAAACCACGCCCATTGCACAAGATACACGGCCATCGCAGGTACGTTAGTGCGCGGTAAATTGCCATTGTTTTTTCTTTTGATTTCACGTGTCCAATCATTCTGAAAGACTCTTCAACAAAAATTTGCAGCCTGAACAGTCTGAATTTAACATACCTTTATGTATTTTGTGTCTTAACTCCTTACTTTCAATCGTCTGATCGTGTTAAGAATTGAAAATGACACATACAGCCTCGTTTTCAAACGCGGAAGCGCGTAGATCGAAGCTAAAAGCGTCGTATTGGGATCCCTCATAGGGGCAATGTGAAGACGAGTCACAAACATGTATTTTACACGAAAAAGTCGAACAAAAAGCCTTCACTTTGCTTTGCACCGGGATCCATTACTTCAGCATGGCATACTGCTTTCACTTCGTTTGGCTATAATAAGCATTTTGCGAGTTAGATTTGAATAAATGTGGAACACTGAGTTATCTGACTGCCCGTAAAGAATTTAAATTTCCTTAAACTAAAGACACTGTTGTTATACATCGTGATTCTGGGGAAGCTTTTGCACAGCGACCGCCATCTCTGGAATGGACTGGTTCTTTGTGCCCTTCTTCAAGGCGTCCCTTCTGTAACTAAGCAAAAGCTTTCCCAGAATCACAAGGTATTGCAGCAGTGTACATTAGTGTATTCAGTGTAAAAAAATTCAAATTGATATGTTCACGTGAATTTAGAGAACTCAGTGTACCAGACTTTTAATCAAATTTTACTCGCAAGTGGCTTATTGCGAGAAGTATTAAATTAACATCCGTCATGTTTCTGGATGTTTTCAAGGAAGTTGCGTGGCGGGTGTAGTTGGCCTGACAATGCCTCGTTATTGTCTCTTCGGTGACACAGTGAATACAGCGTCTCGTATGGAATCTAATGGGCTCGGTAAGTATCTGTTTTCTTAGACAATTCTGATGCCATTCTGAAAATAACATAATACATTTTGGCGTAAGTAGACTGAAAAATTGATTAACTAGGCCCATTCGAACTTTGTTTATTAACTCATGAGTTGGAAACATTATTTTCGATAAACGAACAACTTTTTGAGGCTAATGAGACACAGTTTGAACTTGACCTGTGCAGGCTCTGGTGTTAACTTAAACACGAAGTTGATTTATGTGTGTCAGGTAAGTACATTATACAAAGTTCACGAACACTGTTCACACGATTATCGGGGATTAAGTGAAGTGTCCTGTTTTTTTTCGCAATTTCTCGCACTTGAATGTGCATGCATCCCCTGCATTCAAACAACCACAAGCTCTTTACAAGTGAGCTATCCCATGTCATTTTCCCCTTGGCCATTTGCCATTCCGTACGTCATTTACTTACTTTTTTCGTACTTTGCCAGCGCTCAAGATTCATGTCAGCCCCGAATGCCGACAGGTACTAGAAGAAATCGGTGGATATGAGCTAGTAGAAAGGGGTCTCGTTGCCATGAAGGTATACTACAATCATTCGTAAAATCCTATACTCCTGTCTTAATGTATGTACACCGTACACCACAAATACAAAATAACTGCAAAATTCTGGCTACTAAAATTTCAATCTGTATAAATTTCCAAGCTTGCACAATTGCTGCGAGGGATCAGTCTTTCTGGATTGACAGTCGATCCTTTCTTAGACTGAGAATTTCCCATCCATAACCGAGTGCAGTGAAGTCTTAGATGGAAATTTTCGATCTTTTTTCAGTCGAAATCGGATTGAAAATATTTTGACTGAAGATTGAACTATTCAATCTAACAGGTTGAACTTTTTCAGTCATTCATAGTTCGGAAATTTATACTGAATTCTAAGCTAGATTAGCAACCACCCACGTATGTATACCTTCACATAGCCGTACAATCTAAAAATTGACGTCCGGAGAGTTTGTCCGTAATTCATACATTGCTGCTTTAATTCAATACAGCCAACACAAATAACATATCAAATTCAAGCAATACATTAAATTCAGTTAATGCCTTTGAGTTCAACGAGTACGTTGTATATTCAATGAACGCATACTGGTAAAGATTTGAAAAGCGATTCTTTAAAATCTTTAAATCAAGGACGAATTAGCCAAAATCCTGAAATCAGGAAAAATACTCGCCCCAAATTCATGAACTCGAGAAGAAACTGACAAAATATACAGTCATCTGTGAAAAATTCGCGGGGAAGACTGCAATATAAGTTCAATGAATGCATTCAGTTCAAGGTTTCAAAGAGATTTTTGATTATCCTTAACTCAGGGTGAAACTTGACCAACATTCTGAAACAGGAAAGAATTCTGACAATTCCTGAAATCAAGAAAACATCTGAAAAAAATACTGAAATCAGGTAAATACCCTGACAAAACATTTCGACAAACAATTCTGAAATCAGGAAAAATCCCAGCAAATCTGACTTCTGGTTGTTCATCTCATGCCCTCGGGCAGAAGCCAGCTCCGCACTTGGAACTTGACTTGAGTTGGGGCCATTATAACTCTACCGCTGCCAACATCTGTTCCCAGCTGTAAAGTAGAGAGTGAAAATATGGATGCAGTACAAAAACTTCCCGTGACGAATATTCTCTAAATAGCAAAGAGTGAAGAATCAATCTTTTTGAGTGAAAATTCACTCCCACAGTCGGAAACTAGGGAACACACGTTTTAGAGTGAAATTTCTTCAATTGAGTTTTCACTCGAGCTCAGACTGAAGTAATTATTTGGTCAGAGTCTTTCCTTCTAAATTGAAAGTGATTTTCACTCTGAATCGTCTTGTCCCTGCTGGGCTCGATCTCAGCACGTTGGGATTGTAGGCCAGCGTAAGCAACAACTGCGCTGCCGTATTTGCCGCGACAGTATCGGGTAATTAAAACCTTGCATGTATTGGCTATGATAACTTTGCAATACCGTAACTATAGAATTTGGAAGTCGCGTTACGGTAACATAAACTATATAGCCACTTCGATTAACATTAGTTTGGACATGGGAACAGGCAAGATTTACAATATCTAAATGACTTTCCAAAATACCAATGATACCATCATCAAAGTTCAAACATTTTAAATACTCATGGAGAGCCATGGTCAGACGACAATCTTCTGTCCTCCAACCACAATACACTTGTCTGAGTTCTGCGGGCGCTAGCTCGCTCACGCTGATGCATATCGATCGTGCACTAGTAAGCCCGCGCCGCGGCCCGGCGGCCAAGTCTGCCCAGCGCGCAGGGCGTGGGTGCGGCATCAAGCGGGAAATCTCAGTCACGAGATAATTTACTTCGTGTTTCTTTGGTTTGATTTCTCAATCTTGTTTGTAAATTCAGCTTGTTGATTGGTCCACGTGTTCAATTGATTGAAAGAATTTGCAACTTTTTTCACGATTGAGCTGTAAATTCTTTTGAAGGCAATAGGGGGCCTATATCCTTTATCGTTTTCAGTCTAATATACAAATATTGACTGCTTTGAGTGGGATGGTAAAATTAGCCTCCCCAAGTGATCCATGGAGCGTAGTTGTTAGAAAAGAATAGAACAAATTTAATGCTTCATGGATCACCGAGGGGGACTAGTTTTACTATACCAAGAGATAAAGCAGTCAATATTTGTTTTATTTTTCTGTTAACAACTGCTGAAGTTTTTGCGTCCAAGTTGTTGCAGAATATACAAAACTTTAGTGCATAAATCCCTGCCATCTGATTCGTGGATCATTGATCACATGTCATTGAATTTTTCGTTTTATTAACAGTTCCTGTTGAATGAACTTCTTCATTTCGCTTGACTGGTTCCGCACCATTTCATGTACCTCATTCCCAGTACAATCAGGGAAATAGAGAGACGGAAAACAGTCCCATGTTGCATAGTCTAAAGGTGGCGCTTCAGACATGAATGTGATTGGCAAAATGATAGACGTTCAATACGCGAACAGGGCTTCTTTGTTCTCCTAAGGGGTCATTCAAATTTTCAATGTTTTTAATTTTCGATGTTTTTCGAAATTGTTTTGAACCACCCGCCCACCCCAATTTTCGATAGAAAACAAAATCGATTTTTTTTCCCACACAGTATTATACCATGCATGGTGGCAGTCATGTTGAATGGCGCTCCGCGACCGCACGTACAAACTCCCATCACAACGTTCCCTGATATAATGTTCTTCTGGATATAAAGCCCCTTTTTTCAAATTCCGGGCTGTTCTCCCATTTACTGTATACATTTAACTCACAGAACTCTCGTTTATAGCATTTTCAAGTGCAAATATGACGTCCCAGACAAAAATGCAAAATATTGACGTGTGTGCTGTACGTTTATATGGTGTAATATTTACGACAAACATTTCTCTCTCTCTTTCCTCCCTCCAGGCGACGCAACCAGACGACGCGACGGCACGACGGCTCCCTTGCGTCGTGCCGTCGGGTCGCACCGTCGCCGTCGTTTTGCCTTAAGTCCTTTCCATGCTGCATTTTTTGCCGCCTAAACGTCGCCCCTTCCGTCGCCCGTCGCGACGTACCGTCGTGCGTCGCGTTTTGTCGTGCATCGCGTCGCCTATTACGTTGCCTGAAGCATGATGCGTCGCACGACACGACGCACGAACGCAACGCGTCGTGTGCTGTTGCCTTTTGTTTCTTGGTGTTTATAGAGGGCGCCTTTACTGTTTTCTTTCATTTCTGCCCCCGGTACTTGAATAGTAGGGTACAGTCCACTAATTCAAGCCCCATTGAAAACAGTGTAAAATCGGCACTGTTCAGGGCCCAATAACATGCTTACCAACATCCTTGAGATTGCTGAAACACAAATAAAATTATTGTCTGGTCCACAATCTTTCGATTTCTTTTCAATTTATTTTGGGCTAACCAATTACATTTTTAATTATTCCAACAAAACAAAATCACCCCCGAAAAGTGAGTTTTCCGAAGTCTGATTGCAGCCATTTTTCAAGTGGCAACCCTCAACCTTCTTGGGCACTTAGGACCATTTATCAACCGTAGTTTTTAGCCATTCTGCTCTCATAGGATAGCTCAAAGACCCAGGCAGTTAATCCTGGCAACGATTTACACAATCTCACCATTTCGGGGGCCAAACAATCTCCTTTTTTCAGAAAAATGCTGGGCTGCTACTTTTAATGCTAATGAGCTGAGCAGAAATTCTTAATTGAATAGTGGACTGCATGCACCCAGTACATGGTATTCGCTCTTTGTACGCTGCCGCCATGGGCATGCAGAGCCTTGAACTGACAGCTTTTGAAGTATTCTCCAATCGCACAGTATAGATGGTAGAAGAACTATTCGCAACAGCATGCCCAAAATTACTTACCAACATACACGGAAAAGCTGCCAGATCGAGGCTCTGCATGCCTATGGCGGTAGCGTACAAAGAGCGAATAGGTAGCAGGTCTTGTTTTTGTTATTGTTCTTTTTAATGGTTACTTTCTAACTTTGTGTTTTCGTTAAGAGTGAGTTGTTGAAGAAAAGGTTTGTTTTTTAATCAAATGTAACTAGAAAGAGCGTCACGACCAACTATCAGCCTTGTCTCCAGGAAATAAATAACACGAGCCACAACGTCGTTTTAACTTTTCCTGGTGTAATTTTGATCTTCCTAATAATTATGTAATAGGATTGATTTTGTTCCCCCACTTTGGGAAATCCTAACTCCCCCAGAATTAGGTCATACAATTTGTGTGGGTTGCTTGGCAGTGCGTGTGGGCAGTTTATAGCAGAATTTGCAACCAACCACAAGAGTCCTTCAGAAGGAGCTGATAACTTCCCTAGCCGTGACCTTCCACTTCATTTGGCTACTGGACTGAACAGAGACTGTTCTGTTGTCTCTCTGTGATTTCTCCTTCCATCGAACCTGCCATACTTACAAATTCGTCCCTGTCCTGCTCTAGGCAAAACCATTACAAGTGTAAGCCTATTGAACCACACATGCGTACGTTGCTGGACAGTGGGTGGCCTTGACCAGAGCCACATGAATTCCGTTATAACGTGCTTGCTAATGTAAGATGCGGATCTGAGGAGAAATTATACATGTGTGTGGACAAACAGAGTTGAAAAAAAGACACGGCCACAATGATAATAGCGTATGTATAATGTTTTATTCAGAAACACGGACTAATATCATTGAAAGTGTGGTGCTGATGAAGGTAACGAGGACGACTGGCCTGAAGGAAGACTAAGACGGAATATTCTGA